AGTATAATTCTGGGTAAACAACAAACATCGCCTTCAAAAGGCTCGTCTGTAACTAGAAGGTTTTCATACTAGTCTACCTATTATCTGCAGGGCCCATAATGTAACCCAGTGTATGTACTACATGGCATATATAATATTTGTGGAGTTATACAGAAGTGAGCTCTATGGTCTATCGCTAGGACATCACAATGTTAATTAAACCAAACTTTTTTGGATGGACTGGGTTTAGTTTTGGATTACACCATTTTGCTCGTAAAATATGTATTTCGCGCGTGCATGTAATTGTCGCGTTGTTTTCTGCCAGTTTACAGCAGGAATTGAATAATAACATAAAGTGTTTGTTCAAACAGTTCGGTCAAACTTGTTGGAAATGAAATTCCATTGTAAGTTCTCTGCTCAAGCCAGCAGTCACGAAATGTTGGTATTAGAGGATGTTGGGGTAGAAATTGTCACTTTCTACTGTTAATCGCCTCAAGCATTTAGTTGGTTCAGACTGTCCCACAGCCGAGTCAAATGTTTGTATGTATGTGTATGATTGTGGCAGTTTACCCTTGCTTCTTTTGTAAATGTTAGAAAAAGTTTCTCTTTGCCTGCGGCGTTCTGCACAGAGCCTAAGGTAATAATTGAATGAAATTTTAATACATACACACACACATACAAACACATTCACGTGCTTTGCAAACGTCAATACATACATACATTCATACATATAAACATACATTTACGTTTGATGATGACAGTAGAGCCGGAGGCGAGGCTTTGAGAATAGCGCTATTTTAATGAACATTCTAATGAAAATCGTTTTCAAATATTAATATTTACATACATATTAATACATAATGTTAGTAAATGGACATTTTCTAGTTCAAAAGCTTAAAAATTCTAATAATAGAGTTTGACAAGTTTCACATAACTATTTATATACTCGTACATATTTACATAGATATGTATTGTGTATTTTAGGTTCCTCATCATGTATCTGTATGTAGTTGGGTCCCAATAGGCTAGCCTTGGTTCGATCAGTCTCCAAAATTAAAAAAGACCAGTCCAAATAGCTCGTTGTTGCTGTTGAAAATGTACAAAAATGTACGTAAATCATAAAATAAACACCTCAAAACTTATCTTGCAGTTTCTATTCTAAGTATAAGTACATATAAGCCTACATGTTTACCCAGCAGCAAAATATCAGACTGGTTACAAAAGTTGCTAGTTACCTGAAACTGAAGTAATATATTTTTTTCCTTTTTGCCACCTCGAATTGCATAGTATAATATTCGTATAACAACTCCTTTTCAAAAATGTCAGTTTATACAATAATAAAAAAGGTATATATATACAAAAGTAGTTTTGGACTAGTTCTCTTGACATCAGGATAATTTTTTGCACTATTTAGAGGTGAGTGTTTATGAGCGCACATTAGTGAGTCCGAAGAGTGGACGCTGAAGGTTCTAAATTTCGTTTTCGAATTTTGAAGATATATAAGTTATCAAATATCTCCCTTTCGCTTTTTTATCTTTTGAATTTCGCGGCTATGTACAAAGCGCTACAGATCTCGTATCTGGCAGCACTATACATAATTTGAAAGGTCTTGACATAATCTACAAAATAATGATATGCATGATTACTTTGGATATTGCGTTCAACAGTTATAGACGTGTAAACATGGAGTTCACTAACGCCGAAATTCGCGCTATTTTAAAGTTTTCCTTCGTTAAAGGAAAATCCGCTAGAGAAACGTTCCGTGAGATTAATGATATTTTGGGGGATGGTACTATATAACTTCGAACCGCGGAGGAATGGTTTCGACGATTCAGAGCCGGTGAAAACGACACCATGGATAAGCCAGCCGGCGGAAGACCTGTGATGACAAATACCGATCAAATCATGGAATACATCGAGTTAGACCGGCATATGGCATCTCGTGACATCGCCCAGGAGATGGGAGTTAGTCACCAAACCATTTAGAACTATCTGCAGAATGATGGATACAAAAAAAGTTAGATGTTTGGGTGCCGCATAATTTGACGCAAAAAAACATTCTGGACCGAATCAACGCCTGCGATATGCTGCTGAAACGGAACAAACTCGACTTATTCTTGAAGCGGATGGTGACTGGCGACGAAAAATGGATCACGTACGACAATATCAAGCGAAAACGGTCGTGGTCGAAGGCCGGTGAATCGTCCCAAACAGTGGCCAAGCCGGGAAACGCTTAATTCTACCATCTACTGCGAACAAGTGGACCGCTTGAAGCAGGCGATCGACCAGAAGCGTACAGAATTGGCCAACAGGAAGGGTGTAGTGTTCCACCAGAACAACGCCAGACCACACACTTCGTTGATGACTCGTCAGAAGTTACGGGAGCTCGGATAGGAGATTTTATAGCATCCACCATATAGCCCGGACGTAGCGCCAAGTGATTACCACCTGTTCCTGCCCATGGCGAATGCCCTTGGTGGTGTGAAGTTGAACTCAAAAGAGGCTTGTGAAAAGTGGCTGCCCGAATTCTTCGCAAATAAGGAGGGGGGCTTCTAAGGGAGGGTATTATGAAGTTGCCGTCTAGATGGAAACAGATCATCGAACAAAACGGCGCATATTTTAACTAAATCCGATCACTGTAACACTTTTTATAAAGCATTGAATGAAGAGCAAAAAAGCAGAAGGGAGATATTTGACAACCTATATATGCTTGCTCGAAAGTATCTGCGTCATGCAATGAAAAAAAATCAAACTCCAGGTCTAACACTTCAACGGGAATGACACCAACAGCTACATATAATATTACAATATATATCACGGGTCATCCAAGTAGAGGTTTTTTTTCAACAGCCTTCTTTTTTAACAGATCATAAGTCATGCTATTTCTGTTCAATATTGCCTGTCATTTCATCTTGGAAAGACTTACGCCTGAACAACGTTTACCAATCGTTCAACTTAAGTATGAAAATTCATGTTTTGTAAAGAATATGCTTCGCTTGTTTCGCTCAACTTATGGCCAACATAATCGGTCGGCATTTATTATTGGATAATATTCGACCCAATAGATCACTTCCAGCATGCAGTGAAGAAAATATTGCAGCCATAGCTGAGAGTGTACACGATTACCGATTCGGCGCTGTTTGCAGACACTCGGATTGACGAATTAAAAGCTTACAAAATACAGCTTTTGCGAGAACTGAAGCCGCTCGATCTTCCCAAGCGCCATCGCTTCGCTTTATGAGCTCTTTAAAAGCATACATATATAAAGTACAAAGTTTAAGCAGACAATCCCATTTCTATTCTGCTCTTTACGCGTGTGCCAGCTACCAATGGAAATACTCGAACGAGTTATCGAAAATTGGACACAGCGGATGAACCATCTGAGACGTAGCTGCGGCCAGCAATTGGAAGAGATAATCTTCAAAAACTAAAGGATTTGACTTCTCTGTGTTTTTTCTTTAAATAAGTAGCGAGCCTCGAAATGGATCACCCATCATAATTGACAACTTATAACAGGTTAAGCAATTTTCGGCTTTAATCTTCCTTTGCTTCCATAGCGGGTACTGCATTGAATACTTTAAAAGCTGGAGCGCTTTCGTTCATTCAGACGGCGGATTAAGCCAGCGTAGCCGCTGCCTCTTCATTCGCTGAGCTATACGCGCAGGGGACCATAAACTGTAGGCACAACATTCCTGTCGAAGACAAATTTAAGAAAATCGCACAATAAAGAGTCACACTTTCTGAAACCTCGATTGGTCCTTTCTAGTCCTGAGGGACATTCAGACATAGTGCTTTGTTAACGGTGAGATTTTGCCTTTCGCACAAAACTTTCGATAGGACCTTACATGCGGTATATCCTTTTTTTTTCGGATTAGATAGAACACACTTACGTTCATCGGGCAGCATTTCATCCGAGCATATTCTGCAAAGCAGCTGATGCATGCACCTGATCAGTTCTCCACCGCCATGTTTCGATAGCTCTGTCATGGACTGTCAGCTCCAGCCACTTTACTGTCCTTTAAGCGTACAACCGCTATTCGAATTTTGATATTCGGATATTGGAATGTTTTTTCCATCATCATCGGTTGAGGTTTCGGGTTCACTGCCACAGGAGGCTGGAGAAATGTTCTCTCCATAAATTCAGTATACTTTAGGTATCAGTTACTAGATCACCTCTTAGTGTCTTACAAGAGTCTGCTTCGATCTTCACATACTCTGCTAGTCGACATATTAAGCTTGTCAGTCCTTCATTCTCACGGTATCTATCCTACCCTTCCAAGTCCCGTAACCCGAAGCGAATCACACGTCGAATTTCTGTTTCACAGCTATCTTGCGTTATCTCGTGCCCTAAATTTTTGCTCCAGAATTCTAAATGAAGACTAATAAAGTAATTGCAAAGGATTTGGTACTTTTACATTTAACAAAAACAAAGTCACCAACACACCGATCTTTTTTTAATCCCCTTAGTATTTGAACAAGTTTAACACATCCTTGTGCTTTTATTTTCTCTGATGATTTGGCTTACTTTGCCTATACTTGTTTGCCCCTGTCTCCTGTTTCTCACCTTCAATAAAAGACATGAAAATAATTTCCATTTAATGTAATTAGTTATAATTAATTTATTGATTACCACTTATACTGTGTGTTTATGTATGTTTGTATGGGCGTTTTTTTTTTTTTTTTTTTTTTTTTTTTTTTTTTTTTTTTTTTTTTGAATTCAATACATAATATTTTCATTTTGTTATTTTTAAATTTTCTGTAAAAGTTACATTCATAAAACGCTTAATGTAATTACAATACACTAACACTGTCAAGAGCATTTTTACATACATATGAACATATGTATATGACTGCATGTGGTGGAGTATTTTCATTGAGTTTTGCTAAAAAATCTCTTTCATTCCTATCGACTCGTGTAAAACGTGATAATTGGATTATAAACAATTTTTTTCTTTGAAATATTTTAACTGAAAAAATATATTTAATATGTTTCCATTAAAACTTAAATTAATTAAGCCTAAACAATATCTCATTTTTTTTTATTTTTTTTTAAGCTAACAATTGTACAATAAATCAATTCGCCAAGCAAATCACTGCGTCCAACATATTCATATAAACTTAACTCATTTTAAATTAAAATAGAACAATAATTAAAACAGAAATTAATTTGGTATTTACTCTAAGAGCTTAAAACACTAATCAATTAATTTAGTTACATATATATATATATAAATATGTACGTAAGTATGTGTGTATTGTATATGGACTACGAGCTAATTAAAAATGCTTAGCGCTTTGCCTGCTGACTGCCAACCAAAGGTCATCGGCGCATTTAAGAATCTCTCACATACATACACGTTTGTATGCATGTCTTTTTTAATTTAGTATATTTATTTCGTACATATTTACTTTCATTGCCATACTACTCATACATATTATTCGTTAAAAATTCTTTGTTTTACTCTGAATATTAAATTTTTCAATTATTTATGTCGCTAAAAATTCCTTATAATTTAAACAATTACTTTAACGTAAATAAATTGCCAACCACAGGACTATCACATTGGAATCCGACGCACCAGTAGATACTCGGAGAACTGTTGCCCCTCAACGCCGCCGCCAGTGCTCGCCTCGATGGTGAAGCCGGCATTGAGCAGGCGTGTCAGTACCTGCACCGAATTCAATTTGCAGTAGCCGTTCAAGGGAAAGCGTATAATTTGCCGCCAATCACCCTGATTCCACGACACTCCACTGCGGCTCGTCTGCGTGGCCTGATTGGCCTCAGGAAAGACTTCGTCGAGTAGTGAGCGCTCAGCGGAGAGCATAATCCGTTCGCCCAGATCGGGTGATATATGCAATGCAACGACTTCATAATTATATTCGGGCGAGGAGTTGGTGCGCGGACTGCTTTTGATGCGAGCCGGTGGTGTTGGGGGCGCCACTAAATAATTGCCGTTACGTACGCGATCTTTGCGCATGCTCTCCAATTGCTTGATCATAGCTGAAGGGAGAAATAAAATGGAATAATTAATATATGCTTGGAGGAAATTGTAGTGTGAAAGATTTACGAGATTTGCTTGGCATCTACGATATACTAAATATCTAAACTACCTTATTGAAATGGAAAGGAAAATAAACCTTTTCAGTACTCGGTTTATACTGGGGAAAACGACGAAAATGTTTTAGAAACTTCAAGGTTCGAACCTACCGGCTTGTAGCAGGCGCGTCTACTCACTACGTACTTAATTTTCAATTTCGTTGTAATAAAAATATTATACAAGAATGTTGAACTTTCTACTTACGCTCCACTTCGAAGTAGCGCGCCTCCTCAAGCAGCAACTCGAGATCGGGAAAATCATCGGCAATCAAAAGTCTTGAGTTTCTCATAAAATTCAACACGTGCCGGAACATGCCGCCATCGCGATCAATAAAATAGTGCTGCTTCAACGAGTCCAACACAATCGGTATGGTGCCGTTAAAGAGTTTCGCCAACTTTGAATCCGGATATTTGGTAAGCGTTTCCAATGAGCTGGTATAAATAGTGCCGCCCACATCAATATGTACGGGCGCAGTATAACGCGAGGCAGCCGCCACGCATGGTATGCCGGTGATGGGCTTGTGATTGGCATGCAAATAGGAACTAGCGCTGGCAGCCGAAGTGCTACCTGGTGCGCTGGAAGAGCCGCCGCCCACGCTGGACGGCAAACCGATTGGCGGCACCGATGAACTAGCTGGCGGGGTGGGCGTTGGCGATGAGGAATTCGAGATCGTTGGTGAAACAGTGGGTGAAGCGCTGAAATGTTAAAAGATTTCGTGAAAACATATCTGTGAGTGTTTAAGCAAAAGAGTTTATTACCTTATTTTAATATCGCCTCTGGCGAAAATGCGCCCCGTCGATGAAAGGTCGCGCGGTTCGAGGGATTTTGTATCTCTTTCGCGTTCGCGGTCCATATCGCATTTTTTTCTGTAATGAAGAAAAATTAATTTTTTTTTTTTCAGCTGCATGGCAATTTCAGAATTTATTTCCATATAAAATCTTGTGAGTAACATAATTTAGCAAATAATATTCACAAATAAACCCAGCTAAAACGAGTTACTCTCATTTGTTCACCTTCGTCAAATTCGAGCACCCAAAACTAAACTATGCCATATCGAAAATAAATTTGCGGTAAATATTGCCTGAAACCTTGAGAAACTGATTGGCGCGTCATTCACATGAGATTCGGCGATGTTTTTTATTGCTCGCAACGGCGCAAATGTCTTCCAGCGACACACGCCCACACACTCACTAACCACACACACACCAACACACAACAGTGCTGAATCCCTTTGCTTAGTTCTCTTTTTTTCATTTTAAACGAATGTCGTTTGTATATTTGTGTGTAGTAAGTGCAGAGCTTGCGGCATGGAGCGTAGGTTCTGCGCGTGAAGCCAGATTTCTGAAGGAAATACCGCAGCGCCTACAGCTGCGGCGTCAGAAACAAAGAGTGTAAGTAACAATAACAATAGCAAAGATATAAAAACAGCAATAACAACATTAGTGTGTGAACTACACTGAAATACGGTGGAGTCCCATATTTTAACCTCTTGGTCGTGTGTTGTCGTCGCTCGCGAGGTCTTCGTGTGTTCCTTTGAGCTGTAAAAGGTTCCCGTGTGGGTTGCCATTTTGTTATTTATTTTATGCGCGCACAAATAAAGCCTGATTTTTATTTTATTTGTATGTGCTATGGGGATTACACATTTGTATCTATAGTTATGTAACCACTTAGACTGTTGCATGTGTTGCATATGCAACAAGTAGTAAATATGAGTGAGCTATATATAAATTGTATTGACCCAGAATACATGGCCGCTGAGCTAGCTTGCACCACAGGAAACCATATTAAAAATATTAACAAAAACAACACCTCCCTTTGCTTTATGTCAGAAAACGCCTTAAGCAGCAGCGAAGAAACTACGTATCCTCCGATTTCCAGGTCACAAGGGAATTGTAGGAGAAAAAATAGTTGATGATACTCTCAAGACTTTCTTCCATTTGACATGAAATACGAAGTACAAAAGACGCTAAAGACTCTGAATGAAGAAATTTCAGAGACATCTGGAAGACGATACGGGCGAAGTGGAACGGTTTAACGGCTCGATAAGAGAGAGCAAAAAAAGCACAAGATCATAGAAAAAAGAGGATACTTCCTAGGCATATTTCACGCTTATCAAGGAGCATACAATTACAAAACTAACGAAAAGACGGTTGACGTCATACCTGCCAATTCTGCTTCTGTTTCATCTCTTGCACTACAAAAAGTCAACGCTACTATGTAGATTGCAAAAAAGGAATTTTTCTTACCGAAAATCAATTTATATATATAATAATTGGCGCTTCGTAACCGCTTGAAAACCGTTTCCATCGAGCTCCTCCCCTAATTTGTGATTTTGTGTCTTGATGGTTTTCCAACAAATAGTGGGACCTACAGTTTATACTCACCCGTCTCCGAACGGCTCATGAATCTTTTTTGAAGAGCTCCATTTTATGTCAGAAATACGCTTGAAGGGGCTGCCATTCTCTGCCGAGGTGCGCTCGGAACTCACCAGTGATAATCAGTAAGGCATCTTCAGAATCGTTCAATATTATATGGGGTTTCAGATAAGCTCATTCGTTCAGTTCACGCAAGTGAGGAAAGTTTTTGACTGTGATTTACCTGTGAGTGGTTAGAAACGATTATTTTGCATATGGCTCAAGCAGCTCACGACTTCCGGTCTTAGGCCAAGTACTCCCTGGGCAGCCAACCAAAATCAGTTCGAAGGCGAATCCCATGCGGTTGTGCGTAGCGTTTGGAGCCCATCACATGAAAACCTTAACCCAATGAAAAATCGATATAAGCCTCGGATGATGACCTTTAAGAATTAAGATTTCAGAGCATGCTCCTAGAAAGTCCGGCCCTTAATTGGGAATGTGCTGCTGAACAACTGCTTGATGTCCTCATAAAGTTAAAGGCTGACCTCACCGCCGTCCAAGAGATGTGATGGACGGGACAAGGACGGAGGATGGTGGGTCCTTGTGAAATTTACTACAGCGGTCATATAAAGGAGCGCAGATTTAGTGTCGACTTTGTGGTGGGAGAGAGACGGCATTCATTCTGGTTGATGAACATATCGCCACAATCCGAAAGAAAACGAAATTTTTGAACACAACGATGAGAAGGACGATGTGACCAAAGATATCTTTTACGAGCGCCTCGAGCATACTTATGACGTCAAAAGTGTGCTTTGCGCCAGTGTGGGCAAAGAAGGTATTTTTTGTGAAACAGTCGGAAAATACAGCCACCATGACGAAGCATCCCCATATGGGCAGAGGCAGATCGACTTCGCCAATTATACAAAATACTGCCGCGGTCTGGGCCTTCAACTCTAAGTGCGTTGTTGGCTTTGATCAGAAACCGCACCAACTTAACTCAACTCAAGCTAAATAAGAACGTACAACTGCTGACGCATGCCGATTGATAAGGAGCCGAAGCGAATGGCTCTGATAGTACACGAGAACAAGAATAATACCTCAAGTCCTTCCTGGCACTCATAAAAGTAAAGCTCGCTCGACGAATAAAAACCGACCTATAGGAGTCTCTTATCATTCTCATCGTGATATATGGTACAGAGGCTATGAGTTTTTAGAAATTTTCCGGGAAGAGAACAACTTCAAATCCGTTACAATAATGAGAGGATGAGAGGATCCTACTTCATGTGATGCCTTCAAATAGCGCCGATCTGCCAGGAGCTGTAACCAGCAGCAGAAGAATAACAAGTCATTGAGATGGGTTAATTTCGCTACCTAAAATCCATTCAAAAAGTTTACGTAGAAATTACCAACAAATACACATATTTTTTTAATTTCTATTTATATTTATAATTTTGATTTCTCTGATTTGTTTCAATAAACACGTTGAACAAAAGAAAAAAAGAAGAACAAAAAAACTTGAAATGCTCATGAATGTAAGAGTAAATCCCAAAACTCTTAGGCAACCCACAATCTTAGCTACAAAAATAAGGCGAAAAGGTTCACCACAACCAAAGGAAAATTGTAGGAAATGCCAGAAGGCTAATATGAGTATATCTCTAGCCAAATGCACGCAGCTAAACAGCGAAATATTTTTACTGAAGCGGCTGCTTTAGTGAGAATGTTGTGGTGACTGTAATGCTGTGAGTACTCTATTTTTGATACGCTCAAATTCGAAGGTAGTAGTGATCTGAATTTCGTTTCGCAAGGCAGTCCCAAACTTCAAATTAATCCACTTTTTCTATCTTTTTTCACTTCAACTCTTCCTTTTCTCGTGCACCTAATCTTCTCTTCTCAACCCAAGGTGCACAGTCATCGTGACGCAAAATGTTGCTTACTTACAATACCTGCGGGTGTTCAAGCCAGAATTAGTGCAATATATAGTATACAGTGAGTGAGGGGTTAATGCAGATGCAAAGGCATACGTTCGTATGAAAATGCATGAAAATAGAAGTAAATATGTAAAAGCCAAATAATAATTCACAAGTAAGCCATTACTTCAAGTTTTTTTTTGTTTCGGCGCTGAAGGAAGAGTGTATGTAGATATGTAGATGACATAAGCGTACATATGTATAATATATGTGCTTATAATTATAATTGAGTAAAGCTCCATTAATATTCAAAAAATAAAATAATTTTGTGGAGAAAAAACACTTGTATGTTTCTCTCGCATTTCGGGGTGGTCCGTTAGCGAGCACTTGAAAGAGTCACAATTCTCTTCAACTGTATTGAAAGTGTACAGAGCGTGGGTTCACAAAGGAAATCTACTTTTTTTAGTCTTCGATTTATCAATCAAAGAACTTTCCCCCGAGAGAAACGCCTTTCTGGCTTGGTTGGACCTACGAATACATAAATGCCGGTATACCGTATAGAACGCATTGCTATATAGCTGCAGCAACTCTGCCATTATTTTCCAGTAACTGACATACCTAAATGGGAGCATTCGGCGTAGTGTTTCCTAACGCCAATGAGTGGCAAAGCGCGCTATACCAAAATAAGAGCATTGGCGTTTTGGCGCTTTCTCTTTCTCTTTAAGTTCGTATTACTTTAAGAACCTTTAATAAATCAGTTGCATTTATTTCAAACAAGAACGAGGCAAAAGTGTGCCTCCACTATTTGAATGAACTTTTCAGTGAATGTTTACCATATTATTTTCAAAACACAATTTATTTGTCAAATTTTTCTACAATTTGTTTATTCCTCTTCGTTAGTTTATCCTCCTTTCTTTCAAACTTTTATCCTTCACATCTAACTTCATCATATAAGGCGCTGTCAAAATTGAAAATTCCATTTGCTTAACGTTGACGCCCCGTTATTGTAGAGTTTCCCATACAAATTGTATGGCTATGAGGATTTTTGACAGTTGTTTAGCGCTCAACGCTCCAATTTAGGGATAGCGGTAAGAATTCTGGCATATCAGCTGTAAATTTGAGCTGACTCTCTCTGCTTTTTTTCTCTCTCTCTCTCTATATATATATTCGCTGCCAATGGCTGTGAATATATGTATGTACACTAGCATGTGGTGTGTATGTATGTGTAATGCCCTTGGGCTGTTTTCGAACGGTTAGTCTTTATCCTTATAATCTCATACCGCCCCAATGGAAAGCTTTAAGTCACAAAAAAAAAAAGATAAAACTTTTCCTTCCTCTTCCTTTTTATTTGTTTGTGTTTACTTACCCAGTATGTGAGTACGTGTTTGGATTTGTATTCGAATGCTTGTGCATATGTATATGTACATATGTATATGTGTGCTACTACATGTGCAAACATCTATGCACATCTTACCATACGTAGAAAGTTTTTCAGGCATAAACCTTATCTCAATTTTAAAACGCCCTAAGAAGTTTTGTGCTTTGCTTTGCTTCAACGGAGGCTCAAACTAAGACCTCAGTTCTGTACGAAACCCACATGCATAC